GGTGGTGGTGTGTTAGTGTAGTGTGGATCAGACACAGCAGGGCTGCTGGAGTTTTTTAACACTGTGTCCACTCACTGTCCACTCTATTAGACACTCCTACCTTGTCAGTCCACCTTGTAGATGTAAAGTCAGAGATGATAGCTCATCTGCTGCTGCACAGTGTGTGTTGGTCATCCTCTAGTCCTTCATCAGTGGTCACAGGACGCTGCCCACAGGACGCTGTTGGCTGGATATTTTTGGTTGGTGGACTATTCTCAGTCCAGCAGTGACACTGAGGTGTTTAAAAACTCCAGCAGCACTGCTGTGTCTGATCCACTCATACCAGTCCAACACACACTAACACACCACCACCACGTCAGTGTTACTGCAGTGCTGAGAATGATCCACCACCCAAACAGTACCTGCTCTGTGGTGGTCCTGTGGGAGTCCTGACCACTGAATAACAGGGTGAAAGGTGGCTAAAAAAGTATGCAGAGAAACAGATGGACTACAGTCTGTAAAACTACAAAGCGTGGTTATATGTTAAGTGAAGCTGATAAAATGGACATTGATGTAGTTATAAGGTAGGTGTACTTAATGAAGTGGCACAGATTTCTGAGGTTAATTCCATTACGCTTCTTTAGGGAATAATTCAGTGTGTCAAGATATTTCAAGCTCACCACGGTTTGACTGAATCATTTTGGTGTTGTTCAGAATATCTGAAGAATCAACATGTTATCAATTGTAACACAGAGGTGTCAAAGGTCCAGTAGAACTCACTGACCATGGTCCAGTTTGATGCCCTCATCGAAGCGGGAGAAGAGCCGGTAACGCTGTGCCCAGTACTTGGCCAGCTCCGGCTCTGCTGCGATCTCAGGGGGCACGTCCACTTCCCTCCTCCGTCTTCTAGCCTTCTTCTTCTTCTTCTTCTTGGAGGTCACCTCTGTCTCTACTGAACAATTCAAAAGATATTTTATTTTAAATCTGAACAATTTCTGCCTTTGATTCATTAACTGTTCACTGTCTATCACTGCAAAATGTATTTTTAGACAAATGAAAACTATTTAAATACCCACAAGTACCCTGAGTTAGTCTTTAACACGTGGTGTGTGCAAAATCATTTATATTAAAAACACTGAGAAAAGCTCCAGTATGAACACAGCCCATACTGACCTCCCTCTTTGTCCCCTGGAGCATCAGGGAGGAGGTAGTCCGGAATGTCTAGAGGCTGGAGCTCCCTCCTGGGGTCAGAATCGCTATCCTGCAATGGCTCTGGGTCCGGTGCTGCCAGTGCTTCAGGTTCCGGTTCTGGCTGAGTTAAAGGCTGGGGCTCTTTGCTCTCTCCAGATCGAGAATCAGGCTGAGGCTCCCTGCATTCCTCCTCACTCTCCTGTGGGCGTGGAGTGCCGTGTCCATCCCCTGTACTTACTCTGGCCTGTGAAGATGTGCTGCCCAACACCGACGCTGCTTTTTTCTCAGAGTCATCCTCAGTTTGGACCTTATGCAAAAAACTCTGCACCTGGAAAGCAGAATACATTAATAAAGATATATTTAAGAGGAAAAAGTAACAACTACGGAGGGATGCAGTGAGTGATAAAACAGAGGATAGGCAATTTCTAGACTTCAGCGCTCAGCAACCACTATGATTTTCTGTGGTCTACCGTGTTGTGGCTGAGCTGTTGCTGCTCATAGATGCTTCCATTCCACAATAATAGCACTTAGAGTTGACCAGGGCAGATCTAGCAGGACAGAAATATCAAGAGCTGACCCGTGGCAAAGGTGGCATCCTATAATAGTGTTACATTTAAAGTCTTTAGCACATCCTGTTGGCAATGGGCGTGGCAGATACACCTGAACTCAACAATTAGGAGGGATATCTACATAAATTATATGGACAAAAGTATCGGGACACCAAATTACACCTACAGGAGCCTTTATGACATCCCATTCTAAATCCATAGGCATTAATATGGAGTTGGTCCCCCTTTGCAGCTCTAACAGCTTCCACTCTTCTGGGAAGCTTTCTATAAGATTTCAGAGAGTGTCTGTGGAATTTTTCGTCCATCCAGAAGAGGATTTTTGAGGTCAGACACTGATGTTGGACAAGAGGGCCTGGCTCGCAATCTCCGTTCCAGGTCATCCCAAAGGTGTTTGATGCTGTTGAGGTCAGGGCACTGGGGCTCAGTCATGCTGGAACAGAAAAGGTTCTTCCCCAAACTGTTCCCACAAAGTTGGAAGCGTACAGTTATTCAAAATGTCTTGGTGCTGAAGCACTAAGATTTCTCCTTACTGGAGCTAAGGGGTCCCTGAAAAACAACCCCATGGCATCATCCCTCCTCTACCAAACTTTACAGTCAGCTCAGTGCAGTCAGGCAGGTAAGGTTCTCCTGGCAATCGCCAAACCCAGACTCGGCCATCAGACTCCCAGATAGAGAGGCGTAATTCATTCATCACTCCACAGAATATATTTCCACTGCTGTAGAGTCCAGTGACGGCGCTTTACACCACTCCATCCAACGCCTGGTGATGTAAGGCTTGCAAGCAGCTGCTCAGCCATAGAAACCCATGCCATGAAGCTCCTGGCGCAGTTTTTGTGCTGATGTTGATGCCAGAGGAGGTTTGAACTCTGTGGTTATTGAGTCAGCAGAGTGTTGGTGACTTTTATGCTCTATGCTCCTCAGCACTCGGCGACCCGCTCTGTAACTTTACATGGTCTGACACTTCGTGGCTGAGCCGCTGTGGTTCCTAAACACTTCCACTTTTCAGTAATACCACTCATTGTTGATTATGGAAAATCTAGGAGGGAAGAAATTTCACAAACCGACTTGTTGCAACGGTGGCATCCTATTACAGCACCACCCTCGAATTCAGGGAGCTCTTTAGAACAACCTATTCTTTTACAAATGTTTGTAAAGGCAGTCTGCATGGCTTGTTGCTTGATTTTATACACATGGCAATGGGACTGAATGAAACACCTGAATTCAGTGATTAAGAGGTGTGTCCCAACACTTTTGTACACACAGTGCTACCAAGCTGAGAGGGTGAAGGCTAGCACAAGCTTCACCTGACTCAGGTGACACCACTGCCAGGTGCTTACAGGTGAAAACCAACTGCCAAATTTCTTACGTCAGATAACAGATGATCACGTTGACTGCCATCATGCTAACTGATGGGAGACGAGGCGGGCCAACCTACTGGGGATCTCCTGCTGATGGGGCAAGTGCTTATTAAATCATTAATATAAGGGTTTCCAAAAAGAATACAAACAGCAGAATGAAAGAAGTGACACTCAGGGCTCTATACTGAAAAAAGAACACAACATCAGTGCCAGATAAGCAGTTTATAACGCTCCAGAAAACTTTAAAATCACAAGTTATGTTGTGCCCCACCATACGCAGTAAAATACATTTAGGCCTACACGTTGCAGAAGTAAAAGAATAATGACTGCAGTCATGCTGAGAGAAAGTCTCTCTCAGTCAAAGCTGAAAAGAGGCTGTTGATAATGTCTGTTGCAGCAAAGTTTTCTCCCGGCACAAGATCAATGTGGCGCTGTGCTCCGGAGAGATCAATGGCAAAGCTCTGCAGTAAATTGTGGTGGTGAGCTTACAGACCAAAACTTCATCCTTCACCAGAACACGGGCCAGCAACAGTCTAGCTATAACGAAACAAGATCAAGGAAAGAAAGCCCGTGAGGGAGGTGCGTGAAAGCATGCAGGGTGTTTGAAGTCACTGAAACAAATGGAAACATTCTGATGAACGTAAACAAACTTCAGCAAGTTCAATGTATAAAGTAGATCAAGGCTTAAGTGAGGTAAAATATAACAGACATTTGGACATCTTTTCATATCCACATAATGTCGTCTGTGGATTTTGACCGTAATGTAACAGATCATTCTCAATATTCACCCTTTTTTCTTTGTTTTTTGATTACTGTGTTGTGTGTTAAGTCACGGAATTGACCTATACTATTTTATGTGGCTATAACATCAATTTGAATCAAATAACCCACTCACAGTGCGAGCTAGCCAGGTTAAAGTACAGACTCCACATGGTGGAGGTAGTTTTAACATATGTTACAGCAGCTAAGTCTACCAAAACAAATAATGAGACTTTTTTTTTACAATAAGTTTTACTTCACAGATTCATTACAAATGTAAAACAGATGTAATGTCAATAAAGTAAGATGTCAAGTAAATTAAATATATTTCAATTTTATTGTGGTGATAATTGTTCCTCTACGTTATGGTCAAAATAAATGAGCTATAATTAACACAGCCATTTTTCACACATAACATTTCATTTTAATGAATAGATTTTTATGTATTTGTTGTAAAGCTAATCTGGTTCAAACAACAAAGACATGCATGGAATTAACTGTGTTTGCAATTATTTTCCAGACATTTCAGCGACTGTTACAACTGAATTTTTCACAAAATGATGAACCAATGTTTTTACATGCAGTTTTAATGAGGAGTATTATTTTACATGGTTCACCACTCTCATTCTAAGCGTTAATTGCCAGCAGAGCACTGTGTATTGCAGAAACCTTCAATACGCAAACGAGCCCTCTAACTAGGGCTGGGCGATAAAACGATAACGATAATTACCGCGATATAACTTTTCCTCGATAGAGCGATACGTCATGTTCGATATAATACACCGTTCTCACACTTCCACGTTCAGTGAAAGCCTTGGTGGCGTTTTCTACTGCAAGAAAAGCGACACTACTGGGCTGTCGCCAGGAGAGGGCGCACTTCCGAGTTTTCTACATGATTAGAGAGGGAGGGGGCCACGAGTAAGATGAGTCTTTAGCAACGGCTGAAACGCGGAGTTATACATTCCCTGTTTGAGTGGAGCGACCGGTGATCTGTTCTTCTGTGACCGAGTGTGAGTGACGAGGTCAGTGGTGTAACTATACTGACCTACAGCGAACTCACCTCTTTACCAACATCCTAACCAGCTTTAGCAGCGTTAAATCACAATCCTCACAACTACAGCGCTGTTACAGCGCTCGGGCAGTCATATTTAAGTATTAGTGCATTCCCAAGCAACGAAAGTGAAAGAAAGAAGTAGGTTCATGTAAATTACAGCCCTGATTTAAACGACAGTAAACTGAGGAAGCTGTGAGGCGTTGGAGAGCGGGAGAGCGCTAGCTTTCCAGGCTAGCTGTTTTTAGCAGCTGGCTAACTTGAAGCAGCTCTGTCACTCCACAACACGGAGAATTGATGATACTGTGGATCAAACACGACACAAAAGCACCGCTTTCAGTTTAAACGTTCCTAAAAAGAGGACTCTGTTTGTCTAGTGTTGATATTTTGCGGTTCACCCCTTAAACTACTACGATAGTATAGAGAAATCCAGTCGTCTAGCTGGTGTCTGAATACTGTGATGTCATTTGTAGCGGGGTAGCCGAGCACTCGGCACCAGCTAAAAATGTTTTCTTTCTTAAATTATGACTTTTACAAAATAGCCATGCTTTTCCAGGTGGTAAAAACAGCTCACCAGACACTTTCTCCCACTGTCCCATGACAGATCTGTGAAATGTCCCACTGGTTGGTGAGTGTTTGTCGTGTTCCGATCATAAAGGATAGTTTAAAACAGCAGTTAACCACCCAGGAGCAAAAATCAGCCTTCAAACTTGAAAGAAATAATGATTTGACATTAATCGCGGTATGTATCGATATCAAACGATATGAATTTTGTTTATCGCGATAACATTTTTGGCCATATCGCCCAGCTCTACCTCTAACCAATCTTAGTGTTTTTGTGCAGTGTTCACAGCTGACCAATCCCAGTTCACAGCTTTGGGCGTTTTAATGAATCAAGCTGTTCACGAAATCCAACAAATGTACCCAATACTTATTGCAAAGCATATAATAATTACAATATGATAAAATGTAATGACAACACTAGAATTTTGTCTTTACTGAGCAGCCCTGGGTCATAGAGTATTTTTCAATATTGGCTGAAAATTCAAATAGAACTTTTGCCTGAAATTACCATCACTGGTGTGTATGTGAGGGTGTGTCTATGCAACATTCAGAGTGCTTTCCTTGGTTCCTAAGTAGCTCTACTCCCCCACATGCCCACAAGAGGCACAGCCTGCCTCCTGTAAACACCGTACACTTAACTGACAGGCCCACAGAGGGGACCCTGCCACACACACACACCACACACAAACCTCTATACTAAAAGACAGCGAACCAACTCGAAGGCCTCGTTCACCACACATATAAGCACATCAATCTACTGTTCAATAAGCCTTTTATTTCGCATGTCAATATAAGCCTAGAATAGAAGACACCCATAGGCAGCTCATCATTCACAGTGAACATGTCATCCATCTACCCATCACACACCACACACAGCTGTGACAGATAGAAATGAAGATAAACCTCAGTAACTGTCCCTAAAAGAGCTCCATTCTGAGTATAAACCCTCCACTGGGAGGCTCACAGGGGGGTACAGTTGGGTGTCACTGTACAAATTCCGATAGATCTAAATATCTTAATACACAATAATATCAGCATAGATTATAAAAAGAAAACAGAAACCTTTAAAACCTTTAAAAAGGTCCATAGTCCTATTTGGCTCCTTTAAATATCTGCATTCAACTTGGTGTTGAATGTTTTCCCATAGTGTCCACTGGCTGGCCTGTACAGCCAGAGACGTTGGGTCGGATTTCGCGGGAGTTTTTGTGACCACTGTCACACACCTTTATGTACAAATATCACACACAGCCTCAAAAAAGATTCGGCTTGATGTTCAGTTCTCGGATGCAAAGTCACATTTCCACCAGAGAGGTCTCCAAATCCCCAAATGCCCCCCAAAAAAGTGTACATAGTGCAGCTGTGAACATCACTGGTTGTGTTCACATGCAAAGATAGTTTGCCAATCAGACTGAATACATTCCCGATTATAGATTAAGACTGAGGTGTTTATATGCTCACTCTACTCAACAATCTGATGGAAAATCTCCGTTTACATGCGCACTATAAATAATCCAATCCACAATTACGCACTTGCGTAGAGAACCCCATAGTGTAGACGTTACCATGACAACGAGCATCACGTGAGTCCAGTCAGAGTGAGATGAGCAGCAGTGAGCAGTGCTTGTGTTTTTAATTACTTTAAAATGATGTCAGACTCAGGAAAACGTCCTTCACATGTCCTTATTAAAGAAGGCCGAGAGGAAGACGTCGTGTTCTGAGACACATAAGCTGGACGTCCGTCCCACCACCGTCTTTTAAAGACCAGAGCATAAACTTCGTCTCCTCTGCAGACCAAGTTTCTGCTCCCACCAGAACGTACTTAAACTTTCCGATTGGGAATGTTATCGGATATGTCTTTGAACAGCCATGAAAGCATACTCTTCAAGTAGGATTTATCATATTTATTTTCTCTCTCTTTTCTAAACATGAACCTTCTACACCTCTAGTCTACACCTACAGTATATAGTGTAATGTTTATGTGATTATAGCAATGATGACATTTCAATTTTCTACTCCACATCTGAATGGCTAAATAAATACATTCCACTCACTTATATTTTAGAGGGGCTCACTGATTGAGAAAAAACTCAGAAAAACTAATCATGAGCGTAACAGTAGCGCAGTTACTAAAGGTTACACACCACAGAAAATATTTGAATTTATATATATATATATATTATATATATATATATATATATATATATATATATATATATATATATATATATATATATAAGTTCAATAACACAGATTCACAGCAAACCCTGCAAAGCAGCCGCTGTGCGTGGTGGCGCGGTGGCGTTCTTCAGCTCGGAACAAATCATGAGCAACCATGAGCTCTGATGTGAAAGACAGCTTTAGTTTCATGTATAAGTTTTTAAAACTTGTCTTTTGTTTTCATTTTTATCTTGCTCTGAAATACTTGGATTCTGTGTACAAAAGCCTGAAGGATTTTTAGCCTCACTTCAGCTCATGGAAAATGTCCTAGATATACTGATCGTTACTGTAAACATGGCTGTAAATATCAATATTCAATAAGTTTGCCTGGATTTATCAATTTTTTTTTTTTTTCTTAAATTGCTGAGTGAAAGGGCAGCACGGTGGCACAGTGGGTAGCGCTGTCGCCTCACAGCAAGAATGGCCTGGGTTCGATTCCTGGCCGGGCGCAGTCAGGCTGATTGGACATGCTAAAATTGCCCCTAGGTGTGAATGTGAGTGTGATTGTGTATGTCTGTCTGTCTGCCCTGCGATGGACTGGCGACCCGTCCAGGGTGTATCCTGCCTTCCGCCCAATGACAGCTGGGAGAGGCTCCAGCACCCCACCGCGACCCAGAAGGATAAGCGGTTTAGATGATGTATGTATGTATGCTTAGTGAAAATGGATAATTTCTTTAGCAGTGAACCTCATAATTGTGTTATTTCTACCTCAAACTCTCACGTTTGCACTACCGTTAAACAGGATACACAATTAAGGTGCAACTTTGAATACCATCTTAAATCAAAAATACCGTTGGTTTTCTTTTACGGTGCAATAAAACAGAAGCTATTCCGTCCCTACTTCCTATAGTGCACTGTGATCTATCAGTATGACCTTGTGTATCATTCTATCAACAGTAAACATTAACTTAATCAGCGAAATGATTTTTCATAATCACTTATCAACTAACTGTTCAGAAGGGAGAATGAAAAACAAAGCCTCTCACTTTCTGCAGAGTTTGGCTGATCTTTGGTCCAGCAGTCTCTCCATCCTCGGTGAAGAAAATGTGCTTGTCGATCTTACAGGCCGCTTTCCGTCCTGTTGGTCTCCACCTGGCTCCACTCTGACTGCCCCCACGCTGCCCCGGAGCCTCCCGGAACTTCAGAACGCTCGTGAACCTGCAACAGCGCACACACACACACACACACACACACACACACACACACACACACACATGCTACCTTCAAAGGGACTTTGCAGGACTGCCAGGCTCTGAAGATAAATGTGTGTCTGCACATGGGTCTTACTTGAGCCGTGGGCCACGCTTGAGGCCCAGAGTTTCCCACGCCTCCTCAGAAGGTATCTGAGCGAGCTCCTCAGCATCCAGCTCATGACTGTGGGAACAGATAGTTAGACTTGAGGCACACTCGCATGGACTGGTGAGCTAGTGTAGTTAACTCTAAACAATCAAATTCCTGCTTTCATTCATTAACAATATTAACTACCATATTCAAGCATATCTTTAACATGCAGTTGGCAAAAACTGCTTATGTCTCAAAATATAACAGACTAGCTCTATGTGCTTATAATGCAAAGGCTCTCCTGGCTTTTCACCTGGCACCCGAATGAGTTCCTTTAACATCTCAACCTTGGTCTCAACCTATATATCATACCATATTCCAACCTACCATAGCTAAAATGGAGTGAAAGCTAGTGGGGACCAGTTAGTAATTTTATACCACCTTATTTTTAGCATTTCTTTAACATACGTTTCCAAACTACAGCTTAACATCGCAAAAACTAGTTAAAAAAAAAACTCATATTGACCACTGAGTATATGAACACTATTCTAAACAACCACCTACCTGCTTTATTCACTATTAACAATGTTAGCTACCATGTTCAAGTGGCAGAAAAAAAAATAAATCAAAGCTAGTATATGAAAATAAGCTCAAACAAATAGCTCCGTGTTTATAATGCAAAAAGGCCTGTTACGTATGACTGTGTGAGTCTTAAGCGCATATCATGTCGTTGGCTTGATAAGGTTGCAACCCTACTGACTATGCCATTGCTGGTCCACTCTCGGACCACCCAGAATCTTGTCCCGCATACATATTTAATGTGTTTTAATCTCCTCCGATCCGCCTCAGATTTTAAATGCACACAGTCTTGTACGTTGGGAAATGAAGTAAGACAAACATCAAACAATTGGGAGAAAAAAAAAAAAAATCTAGGCCTAAACTGATTGGTTGAAAATTGTTGCCGACATTGTGCTAGATTGGTTACAGCTGTATAACCTGCTGTATTTATGATACTGCTGTTAAAATGACTTACTAATTTACAAACGATAATAAAAAAATAAGCAAAATTGTACTGTGGATGGAAAACGAGTGATGAAAAGTTGAATTTAGTCTAATACTCTGCTTAACCACCAGTGGGCCGTCCAGAAAACGCTGAGAAAAAAGCCAGTGGGCTGCCAGTTTTGCTGTCCCCTTGCTATCTGGGGTTATTAATATGTATTATGTGTTATAATGTAAATGCTTATGGGTGTGAAACAGTTTACCTTCTCTTTATTTTTGCTTGCTTTCTATCTGGCGGCTCGTCTTCGTCACTTTCGTCCTCCTTGTTGGAGCCACTCCTCACAGGCTGGCCATTTTTCTTCGTCACAGAACTAGAGCTTGGTTGCTTATTGCCCTCTGAAACACGTTAAACCACTGTTACACCGTAATCAACATTACATACAAAATCTCAGACCCACTGTCTGTTTTTGGTCGTAAATAAAAGGGCTATACTTTCAGACATACTGCAAACCCTGGTTCATATCACCACCACTATAGAGAGGTTGATATTTTATCTAAATTCCACCATTTATCACCAAACCACTCTGAATGACTTCATCTCAATGACTGAATTATGATGAATTATGTTTTTGATGAAAAAAAAAAAAAGGTGAAGTTCTCCTTTAAATGCCTCTGTAAGTAGAAAATCACTGTGAAGGTAGCTCCAAAAAGAAAGAAGCTATCTTTAGAGCATCACACAGAGTGAGAGGGAGCTGGTGTCAATTCACGAATTCACTGTCATGTTCTCCTGTTATATCTTTCTCTCTCATTCTCCTGCTCAAACACACACAGACGGGAACGGAATCATTAAAACTGCATAGGCCCATGTCACATGCTTCTTTCACTCCAAGCCTGACATCTTCTGATAAGGTACATAAAATATGCAACGAGAGCCAATTCTGAACTAGAAAGAATGCTGTTTGCTGTCAGGAGTCAAATCTGCCTTTCCAAAGGTGGCAGGACACACAACCAGGCTCAGACTGGCGTACAGTACGGCTCTTTCTGTTTATATTACCGCAAATGCAGCAAAAAACACGATGACATTTCTCCATCCCGGGTCATCGTCACGAGTACTGCCGTAGGCCGACAATCAAACCCATGTCAGAAAATATGCTGTCACACATGACTGACGCACGGCTAATCTAATATAAGACCTTTACGACCAGGCATCATGAGCTGATGTACTGGGCTGATGAAAAAAATGAATGAATGGAGAAAACAATACATCCTGAAAACTAGGGCTGCACGATAAATCGTACTTTTTATCGTTATCGCGATGTGAGTTTCCTCATATGAGGTTCAACGTTAGAGCGGCAATGACAGAACAGATCAAATGACCTCATACGTGCAGCATCAGGCAGACTTCATTACACTGCCGGCTAGGGGTGGGAATCTCTAGGCACTTCATTTGATTCGATTACGATTCAGAGGCTGCGATGCGATTATAAAACGATTCTCGATGCATCTCGATGTATCTTTTTTTTTTTCTCTCTACACCATTTCTATTTTCTCACTGTGTGAGGACTTGGTAGTTTTAAAGTAAAGTATTTGTAATGATCCATAATGAATTTACTTCCAATATCTTTTATTAATAAATCAAATGGAAGTGATGTGGCAAGTAAACTGGCCACTGTAAAAAGGCTCTCATTCACTGCCTTTGGAGCAGATGAGACGCTGCTGCCACTCATCTGCGATAAAATGAGCAGTTACGGTGAAATAAGATCCAGTGGTGATGGACGTCCACGCAGTGCGTTACAGCCGTCCTGCCCGTTTTTAGTGACTTTATAACTTCGGTTTTGGTCTCGTTGTAGAGACGGGGGGGAATCGCTCTGTCAGTAAAGTATCTTTGAGACGGGACATGTGCAACATAGCGCGAAAGCCCTGTTTCGCAACGACTGAGAACCACCGTGCAGACGGCAGGTCACATAGCAGCGATGCGTTATTCGCATTTATAAGCAGCGCAGTTGGTTTCCTGGTACGTTAAATCTGCAACGAGAGACTGTCACACACTAAAAAGTGGCGAAGCTGAAGTCGCTTCTCTTCCGAATTTTCTCATTCCACCTTAAATGTCAGAATTTAAGGTGGAACGGGAAAATTCAAACAAGAAGCTGGAGAATAAGAAGCGACTTCGGCCTCGTAAGACAGCCGAATGTTGAGAGACATTTAACTGATCAACTTCTGAGGAAAAGTTTTCTGGCGGAGATGGGAGGAAAGCGGCTATAGCTGAGCTGAAGCTTAAAGCAGAGCAGAGTAAGTCTGCGTTTTCGTTTATATTGTTTAGTCTATAGAAATCAGAATCAGCCATTAAAATTCATGACTGGTGCATCCCTAATTAAAACACAGAATCTAGAACTTTGTCATGCCAACGAGATTGAAGGATAACATGCTAGGCTACACATTAACCCATCAAATAACATTTTAAACTCATTTTGCACCAGAAATCCCCAGAAAATCATCTCAAATTGACCCAAAGGCCTCAAATTGGCTTTTGTTTTCTGGCAGGGTTTAATACACTGTTATCTACAATAAACAAAATAATGGTGTAAAGCTAAAAACAGTAGTAGCGGTCATCTTGAAGGCTGAATTTTATCCATAAATTTGTCCGCTTTTATACATGTGTTAATTTGACATTTCACAAAACTGTTTATTAAATTAAAGGCTATATGAAGGTGATTACCAATCAAGAGCTATGAATAATGGACTATGAGTAATGAAATGAACTCACCCTTAGCGCAGACGCTGCTGGATGAAGACGGTCTTTTCCGGTCACCTCCATCACAGGGTTCATCCGCGCAATTACAGTCCAAGGCCTGCTGGCTGTCATTACCGTCATTTTCATCTGTTAGCAAGTTTAAACTGTCAAAGCGTTCCGCTATATCAGTGGCGTTCACATCCACCAAGTTTTCATCGCAGTTAGAGGACGGCTTGTTCTTTTCTTCTTCCAGTTCATCTTCTCTACACTGTCCATCATCACAAGGCGCAGCACTATAGGACTCATCTGTTGTCCAGCCTTGGGCAGTCCAGTAATTGAACTGTTCCCAGTAATAGAGATAGCCCTGGCTGGCATGCTCCTGCCAGGCCTCCTTCCACTCAGCACAGTCCCACGGAGCCAGAGGGGTCCCGCTGGAGAATTCGGGGTGTTTCTCCACCCAGCTCCCCCACAGCAGGGTTTCTCCGTGCAGCTGCCAGTACTTAAGCCACGCCTCCTCGGAGGCGGAAGATTCCGGGTCAGCTGGGGTCTCCTCCAGAACCACTGGAACAACCTTTTCCTTCTCTTCCTGCTGCTCATTCTTAGCCGGCTCCAGCTGTGGGTCCTGCTGTTGGTCCTGCAGTGGGTCCTCATGGTCAGAGAATGTCTCCTGATGGCCAGCATTGGTCTTCTTTGTTCCTCTGTGAGGAGTGCATCCAGTCCACTTGTGCTTAGCAGTGAACAGGACAAACAAAACGTTATTCACTTCTGGACTTGCTGAGTCGGCATCCTGAACTTGGCTACTAGTTAAAGCGGAATTTCATTTTTTCATTCAGATTCATCCAAATCATTCAGATTAGTCTGATGTGACGTGGTTAACAGCAGCGAAACTTACAGAGTCAGAAATATTACCACAGTGGTGTCTGAAGTGTTTCACGACTCTAACAAGGCGACATCACAGAAAGATCTAACACCATCACTGTAAGGAAATCTCAGCCTGTAAGCTTCTCCATCATGAATCTACATCACATCACATCACATCACATTCTTCTAAACGACTTATTTTAAACGTCAAGGATGGAATTATGCAGAAAATTTGGGTGAAATTCCCCTTTAACTGCAGCTTAGGCAACCAGTAATGTTTTAAGCCATCAGTTGCTTCTTAAACTGGGATCTTTTATTACAAATGATATTACCTCAAAAATCCAGGCATTAGATATTATATTAACAACAATCAGTTAATAGTAATTAATTGTTCATCCCTAGTCAGTGTAAAGTTAGTGCCAAGCTAGCGGTGGTGTACATTCACTTCCCACTCAGGGTTTAATACTAATTGGGCCAGCTCTACGTGGATACGGACCGCGTATAACAGTTCAAGTGAAATATTTGTTTGTATACTGAAGACTTTGACAGTAAATTTTCCAGTAAAGCTTAACTAAATATTACTTTTAGCTGTTTGCCAAGCTGTTCTATTCAAGCTGGACCTACACTACACAACGTTTAAAATCCGAGCGCATACTCTAATTCCATCTTTAACAGAATTTCTTGTTATTTTGTTGTGAGGACCAGCACACTAGACAATAAGGCAAAAAAGAGAGGACACATAATGACTTTCAGCTCCGAAAAGCACTTAAACTCCCAGATCTCCCCAGTTATTATGATACACAAACAAAGCTAAAGTAGACTGGACCTGTTTGCACTTTTATGCACGCAGAAGAAGCGAATGGAACAAACAAACTGGGGGTGAATATGAATATTAAAATGCAGATTTGACAGATTTGAAAAAAAGCTGCCGACTTAAAATTGTAAAGAGAGTGATTATTTACTCTGAACTCAGTTAGCAGCTCCTCTGTCTGCGCGGTCTGCTGCTCACCCTGCGAAGTGAATGCACATCTCCCTTCATCTTTTCTCTCTCTCCAAGATTTCTCATTGGCTGTTGCCTTAATCACTTGCTTGGTTACATCACTGACCATCTACAGGACTCGTGAGCATTCTGAGTCATAAAAATCAAACGTGGTTAAAATACTGAAGGGCCTCTGATCACTTCAGAGCTCGATCAGGGCCTAAAGATCGACTCATTTTCATAGTGTGGGGACTTTGATGACTAACATCAACTAAGGACAGAAAAATCAGTGAAAAATTATCATCATTATTTGTCGTGCGTCTCACGTTTTTCAACATCGGTTAGGATTTTCAAATTCCTGTAGGCATGAGAATAAAGTGCATAGTGCCTGAATTGAGACACAGCAATACTTTTTAGCTTCTAAGACAAAATAATCAAGAGCAGCCAAGCTCTCCTCAGTCGCACGGCACCCTGCACATCATAACAACAGATAAACACATACTGCTTTCCTCTGAGCTGAAGAGCTGGCAAACGCTACTGGCAGACCCATACTGGCCATGAGGAGGGTCTCTTCGTCCATCTCCACATCCTCTTCGTCCTCTGAGTGGCTAGGCTCCTCATCTTCGAGGTCTTTGACATTGTCTGGTGAAGAAAAGGGAGCAAAATTCAAAGATCTGAAAGTTTATATTGCTTGGATGTTGTGGAGTTGATCTGAGCAGCTGAAAATGGCAACTCCCAAAATAACGATATTCAGCCAACTACACGAAAATCCTTTTCTGCCTCATCTAAAAGGGCAGATCTTTACAGGCCAACCTGAGTTTAGTGTAAAATAATATAGTGCATGAACCCAATTTCAAGACGAACGTACCTTGCAATACACTGTCAGTCTGAGCCTGAAGAGATTTAAAGTCAGATCGATAGAGTTCTCGATCACTGTAAAAAAATAAATACATAAATAATGAAAATATTAGAAAACTCAGATCTAGAGCTGCTAATTAAGAGACAAAACTGGAGCATTTTGCAAGACCAGTTTCTCAGCTTTTATCAGAATTATAACCACAAATGTATCAACATCAATCACTGGCGTAAAATGCATTTTGTTGGTTGCTGTTTTATTATGCATGCAGTAATGCTAACACAGCACGTCAACAACGAGTAACTATTATACACCTCCATGTTGAAAACCTTGTTTCTGCCACTGGAAAAAAAGCATACAGTCCTTTAGGAAGTCATAATAATGAGAAAGTTTGCCATAATTATGTCTTAAGATCTCATAATTATGACTTAGCATCTCACAACGAATGCCATAATTATTACTTGGTGTCTTACAGTTATGACCTACCTTCTCTTCATTATGACTTAGTATCTCATAACTAGGACTTACTATACAATAACTATGACCTTGTATCTCATAATTATGACATAGGATCCCATTATTATGAATCAGCATCTCATTATAATGACTTAGCCTCTCATAGCGAGTCATAGATATAAGACACTAAGTCATAATTCTGACAAAGTAAGTCATTTTTATGAAATACTAAGTTATAATTAAGAAAAGGTAGGTCACTACTATGAGATAACAAGTCATAATTATGACAGTCGCTATGACATGCTAAGTCAGAATTATGAGACTGAATCTCATTATAAGACACGGAGTCAGAATCATGAGAAAGCCACAACTATGAGATACTAAGTCGTAATGATGAGATATAAAGTCAAAATTCAGATGTTAAGTCATACTTATGAGATAAGAAGTCACTGCATCTCATAACAATGAGAAAGTAAGTTATAATTATGAGAAAATAAGCATAATTATGAGATGCCAAGTCATAATTATAAGATTGAATCTCAGTGTTATAAGACACTGAATCAGAATTATGAGAAAGTAAGTTAGATTTATGAGATGCTAAATCATAATTATAAGATATTAAGTCATAATTGAGATGTTAAATCATACTTATGAGATAAGAAGTCACTGCATCTCATAATAATGAAAAAGTAAGTTATAATTATGAGAAAATAAGCATAATGAGATGCTAAGTGATAATTCTGAATACTAAGTCATGATTGGATCTCATTATTATGAGATACTAAGTCAGAATTATGAAATGTTAAGTCATACTTATGAGATAAAAACTCACTGCATCTCATAACAGTGAGAAAGTTATAATTAGAAGAAAATAAGCATATTTATGAGATGCCAAAGGAAAAACTTTTCCATTATTATGACTCACTAAATGCCTATATATTTGTTCCAGTGGCAAAAAACTGGCTTCCATAAAAACCTGAGCTAAAACGTGTAAACATGCTGTTCTGATTAAGATACTTACTTGACAAAGGCTCTTGAGCAAAGGCAGTATATTGTCATCTCGTCCTGTACGCCATGGTGAAAAAACAGATCAGCTATAGGAACTGTCTGCCATCTCCCATCATTGACCATGGTGTAAAATTACAAACGACCCTGTCACAACAGCAAAACAACTAACCTACCATTTATCAGCACTGATCACCATTTATCACCATTTATCACCATTCTGTCATCAGAGCTCGTTCCACTTGCCTGATCGAACTCAGAAATCACAGACGACCAACGAAGGAGGGACCAACAGCCATAAAAGTAGTTATTAAAATCATTTAAAACGAGGTTCAATACGAAAATGAACGTGACTGTTTGCTTCAGTTTGCCTCACATGGTTTAGAAGCGTTTCTGAAGTGTACCCTTGAATTATGGGAAAACACCCTACAAATTAAAAGTCTGAAACACACCAACGCTAACGTTATCAAAATAAACGAAAGCCTGATAATAGTTTATAGTTTCAATAGTTTAAGGTTTATTTGTCATTTCCACAACATGTCAGGACATTTATGCATTGAAATGCTTGTGGTGAGGCTCAGATAATCACTCTACAGAAAGTAAATAAGTAAAAGTAATATATATATATATATATATATATATATATATATATATATATATATATATATATATAAACAGACTGAAATATATTAAATATACACAAAATATAGAGACAATACACATTTTAAAGTGACTTATTGTAAGTTATTGTTCTTTAAAGTGACTTAGTGTTAAAGTGTTATTGTCCATATCAGAGACATGATATATTAATAATGCTGACAGAGTGACTGAGTGAAATGGTAACTGGGGGAAGGACCCACAGCTTCACAGCCTGTGGGTAGAAACCGTTCATTAACCGGGTTGTTCTGGCCTGTATGCTGCGGAACCTCCTGCCTGATGGCTGGATGGTGAACAGGCCGTGTGCTGGGTGACTGATAATATTTGCATCATGCCAAATTATTCGCACAATTAGCATTTTTAAAAAACAAACGATTCCCTCAAAGTGAAAAATTCCTGACTGGAGGGCTTTTATTATGAATTTCTCCTGCTTACCTACGGTACGTTGGGTCATCCGTGAAGAAAGCCGGGCAAAGCAGGAAGGAGAACGAAGAGGTTGTGTGACTTTTATTGATGCAGCACCATGTAAGTTCAGCTATGAAGGAGAAATAAGAGTCCGAGCGAGTGTGTGAAGAGTAAGCGGATGATCTCCTGGCTTCTGTTTTACGTGTTGTGTTTTTGTTAAAGCTGAACTCAGCTTCTTGTTCGAATTTTCCCGTTCCACCTTAAGTGGTGCGGCAGTTGCGTTCCGGCGCTTGAGGTGTCAGAACGTAACTGTTGCAGCATTTAAGGTGGAACGGGACAATTCGAGACAGAGGCTGGAGAATAGGAAAACAGTTTTCAGCCTTTTGTTTTTTTGCGAGGTCGTGTAAAAGCACTGGAGGTGAAGGACTGTCCGTCTGTTTCGTGACTGTGAGTTAGAGCAGTGCTGCTTCACTGAGAGCCAGACTCAGCCGGCTCCAAACCAGCTCTGCACAAATTAGCATTTGCCTTCTGATATCTGATAGAACCGAATATCGAGCTTATATATCTGATAGTATCAAATATCGAGTTTCGATATGTGATAGAACTAAATATCCAGTTTATTCAAGAATAAGGCAAAAGGGGGCTAACAAAGTATGCAGAAACAGATGGAATACAGTCTGTAATTGTAGAACTACAAAGTGCACCTATATAGTAAGTGGAGCTGATAAAATGGACAATGAAGTTAGATACTAGGAGGTGGTCAGAATGTTATGGCTGATTAGTGTATCGTCTATAAAGATATACCAGGATTTAAAGGGAAATTCCACTGGTATTTCAAAATGTGTGCATAATTAAATCATACAGATGTAAACAAAGTCATTCGGAGTGGTTTCATGTCAAATTATTTATTGTAGGGAAACTTACAGACTCCGATTTCTTTACAGTGGTGGTCATAGGAACCAGGGGTCACAATATCTACAACACAAATATAGCCATTTTATTTACTATCCAAAACCACCAGTGCACCTACTTGTCTTCCGAGTGATTATATGTAATGTTGATGATGGGGAAAAAGTGATACATCTGAAAAAAAAGTTTTCTTTGGGGACTGCTTTGCCTTATAACACCTTACATGTGTCTCTCCACCATTAATGGACTTCAAAAAGTACACTGGAGCCCAAAAGTTTATCTCAGAACTATCATAGAACAGTGTAATGTCTTGGGCATCGGTCAGCACGCTCATAACCATTTCATATAATAACTTTCTGTGGAGGAGCTGTCAGAGGCTTTAAACTGTTCAGACGTCTGGTTCCTATCACCACCACTGTGAACAGTTCTGACTCAGCGAGTTTCTCTAGAATGGAGCATTTCACGCCAAACAACTCTGCATGACTTTGTTTACATTACGGACATATAGGCCCAGAGAAATTTTAAAACATCTGTGGAATTCCCCTTTAGGTTTCAGCTATGGTTTTTAGCAGTATGTTTGAAAATAAGCGTTAGCCATGGTAATGCTCTAAAAAAGCCATAATATAGTTCTATAAAAAGGCCATAATGCCTATAAAATAGCAGTGTTTCTGTTGTCAAGCAGTTTGGTTTTAGTTTTTAAATTGTTTTCTTAGTGTTTAATTGTACTATCATCTGCAGAATCATCGCAATAAACAATCACTGTGAAGCAAATTCATTTACAAAGTACCACATGTGAGCATTACAGAGCCTTACTCCGTAGCTTTTTCCTTTATGGTTATATAATTACTATAATTACCAAATGGACTTGCTTCTCATATTCATATTTTATAAAGATAACAATATCCTGCACAGACGGCCTGTAACACTGTTAAAATCCAGTGGTTCTCTGCGGTTGTTTATTTGGAAACTGAGATATTGCCAAACTGGGCATTGGCACTCTTCTTCTGGACAAGCTTGTCCACAATATAATCTTTCCATGTGACACTTCTACAGCCTATAATTAAGTGCAAGGTTTTCTTTGGAAGACATTTTTTAAATACCTATAGATAGGAATGAGTAAATATGAATTACATGGATGAATAAAGGCAAAGCAATAAAAAGGCATAAAAGAATGATGATTTACATGATTTTTGGCTCTTTTTTAATTTTCACAGTATTCGAAAATATCTGTTAATTGCCGTTGAATCAGTTTGAATCAAATTACAATCTTCTTAGAAAAGTTAGCGATTCACCTTCACCTTAAATACATTTGCCAGTTCTTTTTCTTACTAAACTAACACAACTTTTCTAAGACTTTATAGGCCCAGTTATTGATCCTTTGAAGGTCAGTTCAAGGTAAAAGGTCATTGTGGTCTTTTCCTTCTTCTAACTTGATGTTTTTGTTTTCTCCAGGTCTGCCCGTAGGCAGGAGGGGCCGTTGTTCAACCTGGCTTCCACTGGGAGAGGGACCTACTGAAGCAGCATGTCTAATGAGAGCGAGTCTTGCTGGTCAGGGAATGGGTCTGTGGGCGTCCTCACCTGCCTCCTCCTGGCCTGGGAGGACTGGGCCGGGCTGGGAAATCTGGAAGACTACCTCAGCTTCCTAGAGTATCTGCTCTGGGTCTTCACCCCGCTGGCCATCGTCTTCATCCTGCCTTTCCTCATAGTCATCTTGATCTACTTGTCCATCCTGTTTCTCCATGTCTACAAGCGCAAGAACCAGCTGAGGGAAGCCTACTCTAACAACCTCTGGGATGGGGCGAGGAAAACACTGGCCACTCTGTGGGACGGCCATGGAGCCATTTGGCATGGTGGGTAATGCGTGGCTAAGAGTGAGGGGGAGGAGTGGCTTACTCCTTTTAGAAAAATGTTTACGATATATTATCTGCTTAATGCTGAATAGAAGTACCCAAAAAATGTGGGACATGATGTATTACTTGGTTATTGTTCTACAGTTAAATTTAAGCCTATAGAAAACAACCTAAAAATACAGAAGGAAACGCATTAGGTAGAAAAAAGAATGTGAAAAAAAGCTTAAGATGCTGGAAGGGGAATTCCACCAGTTTTTCAAAATTTCTGTGTAATTCAATTAGAGGTGGGTGATATTGCAAAATGTAATATCATGATATTTCAGGTATTTATGATACACAATGTGTCACAATATTTATTTTTTATGACATCTGATAAGTTAGATCAGACAATGGGTGCCTTTATCTGTCAACAGCTATCAATCCGGTTACTTGTAGTCAATATTTCACACACTGTGCTGCACTAAATCCAATTAAACAGGACTAATTATGCTCTCATTTTATTCAAATATACATTTGGGAAGTGATTTTTAAACACTGGCGATATCCACAATATGCACAGAAAAGGATATTGTGACATATCGTGATGTAATTTATCGCGATAACGATAAATATTTTCATATTGCCCAGCTCTGAATTCAGTCATTAAGATTAAGTCCTTCAGATTGGTCTGATATGAAATGCTCTGGTGGTGGAGATTAGAACCAGATGTCTGAAGAGTTGAATGCCCCTAAGTGCTCCCTCATAGAAAGCTATTATATGAGACCGTTTTTATATACAACGTTGATTTCTGTTCATTTTGAGAGAAGATTTTGGCCTAAAACACGATTAATAAAACCCTTTCATGGCAGAGAGGTGCATGCAGGGCGTTATAAGGCAAAATAGTTCTCGAAGAAAATTTATTTCTTCAGATTTACCACTATATTATCATCATCAACATTATATGTAAACACTCAGAAGACAGGTGTAGGTTCACTGGTGGTTTTGGAATGGCTATGAGTATTTTGTAAACGTGCTCCAGTGTTAAAGTTACAAGATGTGTTTCAGCCTGGGCTGCTTTTTGAATAAGGCTTAATACAGGGCAGCCAGTAAGAGTAGAGTTTCATTTACACATAGCGTCTTAAAGGCACAGTAACAAAAACAGCCCAAAGAGAAGTTGGAAAATGGTCAGGTCAGAATCATTTATGATCATTTATAACTTAAACTCGGACCCTTACAGAAAGCCACACAAATGTTGTAAAAGCACCTCGATCTTCCTCTGTTTAGTAGTTTTCTTTGCCTGAGACAGATTTTTGAGTCCACTGCTGACATTTTATTTTAGATATTTTTCACGGTTTCAATGGGCAAGATCTCCCTTTTTTAAATCCATTCACATTTTTATGTTTAAAAGTGAGTAAGGCATGATTTATACGTATATTGTACATACACAGACTCAAACTATTTCATCACAGACGTTGCTTCTCCTGCTTTTCCTTTTTTCCGGATCTTATACTACTAATGGTCAAACCTTGTTCTCTGCTCATTTTGCTCTTCTGTTATTGTTTGCTATCCGGTGTCCGCCAGAGGTGGATGGGTTCCCCTTTTGGGTCTTGGTTCCTCTCAAAGTTTCTTCCTCTTGCTCTTAGGGAGTTTTTCCTTGCCACTGTCACCACTGCCTTGGGTGCTTGGACCCGAATATTTCTGTAAAGCTGCTTTCTGACAACGCCTGTCGTAAAAAGTGCTATATAAGTAAACTTTAACTTGACTTCACTCAGTTGACACATAAAAAGTTAACACATCCTTAACTTAAATGTGGCATTTTACCTTCAAATCTTGGAGCACAATTTCTATTTATTTTATAGCTTAGTTTATCATATTGAGCGGAAAAAACATAAAATGTGCCATAACGTTTACACATTTTGAGTAACTTTTTATTCCAATATGTTAAATTCTGAAACATTGCTAAGTGTGTTCTGTGTAGAACTGACGCTTGTTGGATTAAGCCTTTATCAATGTTTAGGTATGTTTATGTCAGTTGTCATGAAAGGCTTATGTAGCTGTCACGTAGCCTTCCGACTGCTCCCAGTCAGTGAAGTGAAGGAAAGTAATGGAAAATGTAACTGCCGAGGATGTCGCGTAATATTTGTTGTTCTATGATGACTTGTAGTGACTTTTTTTGTTCTTGTTTTGAGAGAAGTCGTTTCTCAGTTCCAGATTTGAAAAATAATAGAGAGCTGATGTTTTTGGAACAGGTTACGAAATCCATGGCTTAGATAAAATTCCAGATGAAGGCCCGGCCCTCATTGTCTACTATCATGGAGCGATCCCTATCGACTACTACTACTTCCTTGCGAGCGTCATCATTCAGAAAGGCCGCACGTGTCACTCGGTTGCTGACCACTTCTTGTTCAAGGTCCCAGGTAAACAGTCAGGCTCTGTCTGGAGTGTTGAAACAGTCATAAGCTCCCTTAATAATACCCTTAATAATTCATTATGGCTCAATTCCAAGTCTTGTTGCTATTTCAGCTTGGAGTAGCAGTGCTGTAGAGTAGTATACATGCATATAGACCTTTAAAGCAAACAGTGTTTTTCAGCATTATCTGTAGTTCATGATTGATTACAGTGGAAAAGGATTTTTTGGACACAAAACATTTATGATAGAAGCCAGTGGAAAAATATTTCAGCACCTGCCCATTGACTTCTATTATAAGTATTATTCCAGTCTACGGGTCTTCTGTTCCTAAGTAAGTGCAGGGAAACTTGTCGAACTTATTGTCTGTGGTCACTGACCTTATACTACAGATGTAGCAGATCATGTTGAAAATCTAATAGTTACATAACGTTTACAAATGCTGCGCTGGCTGACAATCTAGCAGTGACCAGTTAGTGTGACCTCTTGCAAATATTGACTGACCCACCTCCCCTTTCCTTGTATTTTGGCAGGGATTAAGCCGCTTTTGGAGGTTTTCAGTGTAATCCATGGGCCACAGGAGGAGTGTGTGAAGGCCCTGCGCAGCGGGCACCTGCTGGGCATCGCTCCAGGAGGGGTGCGGGAGGCCCTTTTCAGTGACGAGACGTACCCCTTGGTCTGGGGGAAACGCAAGGGTTTTGCACAAGTGGCCATAGATTCCAAAGTGGTATGTTGTCATAGTCCTGTTGAATGATGTGTTCACAATTATTAGTAGTTAAAGCAATAATAAATAAATGCAAAAGAGTTTGGTGTCCAGAATTTTAGGTTTACATCAGGGCTACAAGGCTAATAACAAGTCGCTAACAACTAATGGAAGCTCCTACTCAACCAGTCAGCACTGTGCTAGCTTGAGAGACACTGTTGTATGACATACTGCATCAATATAGCTGCTATCACTGTTTTTAGGTAAACAGACATACTTTTCTTTGTTGTTTTTTCTTTTTTTCCATGATGCTAATGGGTGGGGTATGAGCTTCCATTATTTGTTAGCTACTGTACTGTGCAAAAGTCAGAGACCACCTTTCATTTATTTCATTTTCAGTCAGAATCGTTAAGTACGAGATACTCCTTTTTTACTCTTTACCTTTATTCCAGCTTCCATTCTTTTTAGGAAACTCACTTTCAGTTTCTCAAAGAACCTGCAGACACACCTCCAAAGTTCAGTCTGAGAAGTTGGTGTAGCATTTTCTGCACAATTCTCTCACAATCCAAGTAATCCCAAACACATTCAGTGGTGTTGAGGTCTGGACTCTGGGGCGGTCAGTCCATCGTTCAGCTTCTTTGTTTGATGTGTCCGTCTCCTTTTCTCAGTGAGGTTCTTATTGACAGCTACACATCCTTTCAGACCCACAGCGCTGAGTCGTCTTCTCACAGTGGAAGGATGGACAGAAACACCTGTGGATGTTTTCAGATCTGAAGCAGCTTGATTTTCTCCTCTCTCTCAAAGACGAAAGCTTTAAGTGCTGTTTATCTGATGGGGGCAGTTTTGGGGTCTACCAGGTCTTGCATGATTATTAAGAATTCCAGTTTCCCCATATCATTTATCAATTTTTGGAAACTTTATTTTTAATCATTTTCATTTGACGTTTTTCTTCATTGTGGAAGTGAATTATCTGTTCCTCAAAACCTCCTGAAAAATGGGAACTTGTATACACTTAAAAAGATCTTCAAGGGTTCTTTAGTAAAGAAAATGGTTCTATATAGAACCATGCACACGCAAAGAACCCTTTGCGTGATTTAAGGGTTCTCTGCATGCTGAAAGAGTTCTTCAGACTGATGGAGAATGTGCTCTAGATGTTTCTATATAGACCGTTTTTGACCCTTTACTGGAAATTAAATAAATAATAGGTGGTCTCTGACCTTTGTAAAGTAGTGTACTAGTAGTGTATTAGTCTTGCACCTCCAGTGCAAAACTAACAAACATGTCTGGGCAACTCTTCAGTCATGTGCAGAACATGCAAACTTCACTCTGTACTGTTGTTTTGTTTCGGCATCTCTATCTGCTTTCTAGCTGTACTGAACTGTGTCCTTGCGAAATCCAAAACAAGGGCTGATCCAGCCAATTTCAGAGAATTTGGCCTGCCCTGTACGAGCGCCAGACTGAAACAAAGCACATCAAAATAAGCTTGTGAGTTTAAGGAAGGTTGTTTGGGGCTTTCTGCCCAAAGCGACTTACATTAACCAACTGCTGGGACAACTATGAGTGAACACAGGCACACTAAAGCAAATGCTGTGTTTACTGCATGTTGGATCATTCTAGTGCAGGACCATGTCTTTCTTTTTCTCCACAGCCAATTATTCCCATGTTTACTCAAAACGTCCGGGAGGGATTTCGCTCTCTGGGAACGTTAAGTAAGTCCTGCACTCAAGGAGTTTTATAAGTAGATCTATAAAGAAATCCACTGTTATGAGTTTAGCAAGAGCAGCATTATTGATTAATTGTGTAATTTCACTCTCTGGCAAATAATCTGTTCGCTTCCCTCCGCCAGGATTTTTCAGATGGGTGTATGAAAGGTTCCGGCTGCCCATAGCGCCTGTGTACGGAGGATTTCCTGTCAAGTTCCGCACTTACTTAGGCGACCCCATTCCGTACGACCCTAAACTGACTGCAGCTGAGTTAGCAGAAAAGGTATGAGTCTATAAGCAGCTATTTCCTTTCCTTTCTCCTTTTGGCACCAGTGAATGATTTTGTTGGGTCTGTAAAGCTCAATTCGGACAGGATTAAATTTACATGGGGTCCTGGGGTAATTTCCTCTGTTACAGGTGGGTGCCACTGTGTGATTTGATTTCTATGCGAACTTTTTTTCTGTTGGTGTTTTTCTCCCTCCTCCGCTGCGGAAATTACAGGCCAAATCAGGTACTGTTTTTCACCAAACTCAGTGGTGGTCTGATCATTTTAGCCCTGTCTAGATACACATCTCTGTCATTTCCCAAACAGATTCAAAAATGAAGGTTTTTGTCCACTGCGGGTCACCTTATTCAGGCTCCTACACACTTCGAAATGATGGTCCTTCAAGAGTATTTTAGCAAAGAAAATGGTTCTATACAGATCCATGAACATTTAAAGAACCCTTTGCATGATTTAAGGGTTCTTCAGATGGATGGAGAATGTGCTGTAGATGGTTCTTTTTAAAAAGGGTTCTACATAGCACCGAAATGGGTTCTTCTACTGTTACGATTGTCAGGCTTGTTACAATCAAATGTATATCCACCTGTTCAGCCTACAGCAGATTAGCTCCGCCCATTCACACTGAAGTTATAAAGAATGTTTTGGTCCAGACTGCTTCTTGAATGAGACACAGTACAGGGCAGCCAATTAGAACAGAGCACAGAGCTCATTTACATATATCACCCTTAAAGGCACAGTAAAAAAAAACAACTTGTTTAGTTTTAAGAGACAAAAAGAGGTTGGAAAATGGTAATGAAAAAATGATTGAGTATGGGCAGAGGTCCATGGTCCATGTCAGAGGTCCTGGAGTGGTCCTTTCCACTGAAGGATGAGAAAGCAGGGGGCTAATAATTTCCGTGGCAACAGATAGACTACAGTCAATAACTGTTTACCTACAAAGTGCACCTATATGGTAAGGGTTAGAGGTAATGAGTATAAGCATTGTGTGGTGTTTCCATTATTTTGGGCACCTTTGTACTTCTAGCAGACCCATACAAACCTTCAAACTGCATTGCTAATGCTAGATATATTAAAGTTGATATCAGTTAATGATCAAGTATTTTGCCCACCAGATGAGGATGTAGTTGTGCCTGTTGTAAACGATCGTGCTGACCACTGCCTGACGAGACTTCATGAAATATTCAGGCGACTGCAGTGCAGACCTTCATTGAAGCTCTTATCTAATCCGATCTTTCATTCAGGTACAAGCAGCAGTTCAAGCACTTATCGACAGACACCAAAAGATTCCTGGCAACATCCTGCGGGCTCTGCTGGAACGTTTCCACACCAGGCCCAAAGCGGAATAGCGTGCACTTTTCGGGTTCTTCTCCAGCGGTTCCCCGCCAGGCCCAGAGGAACAGCACAGCGCTTTCTCTCAGGCTAAAAACTACACAAACTTTATTTTCAACTTTTATTCCCAGCATAATTTAACAGAGAACTGGAAGTATTATTGAACTAATGTATCATCGGTGTATGATATTTTGATGTTACTGATACTGAGATATTGACATCTGTGTGGCATGGGCACGTAATTATCAGCAAATGTCACAAAAAATGACATATCTAATGATGGTGTGTCTGTATTGTGTCTGGTTTCTAGTCTTGTGTGCATGTGAAGTGTAAGAATGTGTGGTTTCGCCTCCTGTGTGATTTGTTTTGTGTTTGTTTTTTGTTTTTTTGTTTTTTTCTTAATCCGTGACTTATTTGCACACTTTGATCTGTTTGAAGGACCACTGCCAAAACAACTGGGTTTCAAGAGGCCTTTTGGTTACTTTATGTCCGAAAAACAGGAAATGCTATTTTAGAGCTGGCGAACTGTTCAACGTGGGAGACAGAAAAAGAACATCTTTTATAAAATGCGCAATAATTGCAGGTCGAAGTGGTTGACGTCAGATTCTTGTTCTTCTTGAAGCGATAGTTACTTACTTAATTATCCCCTTATCCCAAATGTAGGAGAATGACTGAGGCATGTTTGCTCCTTTATTTTTGCACTGGAGCTATGAGGCTAATGTAGCTAACAAGCAATTAGCAGTGTGCAAACTGCATGTAATTTTTGCTGTAAACTGTATGAAGGGCTGTTATCTATAAAATGGACAGGAGTACATCACACAGCAAAAACAGCAGCCTGAATTTTGACAGTTTACATAGATAACATTACCTAATAACTCCTAATACTTTAAGAATTCCACTTTGCACAATGCTAACTGGTGGCTATAAGCTTATGTTATTTAGCTACATTAGCCTGATGAACCTCTGAAGTCTTCTCGTCATTCTGTTATCAGTGCCATGTCCATATTAGGAACTCCAAGTCTTAGCAGTTCTTCTCCATGACAGAAAAGAATGGAATTATGGAAAATCGCCGCTGTCGAGTCCTGTGCTAAACTAAAATGCCCAAAATCTGATATATTTTGCCAAACGGACATTTTTCCTCTGAATGTGTCTGGATTCTCTGAATTACCAGGTTGTTTAGAAGCCTAAATATGACGACTGCATATGGAAGCTAACACTGCTGTGCGCTAAATTGACATCGTAAGATTGGCAACCTCACCAAAGTACCCCACAAAAATGAGCAGCCTTTGTTTGACTTCTGCAGTTTTTAAGCTTGTGTTGATAAATATGTGTTTAAGTTTTATAGTAGTCATTTATGTGTCATTTAAGTGCACAGGAGTTTTAGCTTACCTGTAGCATATATGAAGCATTATTTTCCAGTTCCAGTAACACTTGTGGGGGAAAAATCCATCAGCTTTGAGGCATTTTAGTTGACCCCAGACTCAACTGTGAAGGTTTTCAAATACAACATTCATTTCTTTCGTAAAGAAAACCAGCTTAGACCCAGAGTTTCTAATATGGGCATGACCGACCACATCAGAGGTCTGTAACTAACGAAGCAGACTTATCTTGCCGGATCAACTACACTATATGTTCAAATGCTTATCGACTCCTGCTAACATTTTTTTCTGAAATCAAAGATATTTATAAGGAGTTTGTCCTGTTGCAGGGACTTTTTGTAGCTGCAATGATGGGCCTCTACTCTACTGGGAAAGCTTTACACAAGAAATTAGAACATTGCTGTGAGGAGTTGATTGCATTCAGCTGCAAGAGCATTAGGGAGGTCAGGTACTGCTACTGGATGAATAATGCTGGATCAAAATCTCTACTCCCACATAGGCATTGACTGGAGCTCCATCGCTTCACTGCTCTGCATGCCTGATGCTGAGCCTCTAGCCATTGCTTTGCATTGGGCATGGTCACCTTAGGCTCATGCGTGGCTGATCCAGAGTGTCCTGTTCTGTTGGCAATGCTTTTCTATAGAGGTAGAAGCATTGTTGGTGCAATTGAGCACCTGTAAATGATATATTTGGCCTGAACTATCGCTTTCATCTTACAAGCATACTGTGATTTAATGGGAGCCAGTAAGTATATGTAACTAATGACTGTTAAAGTGAGATTCAGCAGTTGTTGATTGGTGCTGCGCACATCAAGGTTCCAGCTAGGCCTTGGTTAGTGTTTTCTTCTAGAGCTTCTAGAGTGCGGTCAGTGTCGGGCCGCTGTTTAAAAAGGTTCCAGTTCGCTAAGCTCTAAAAACCTGCTCTTCGATTGGGCAGCATAACGATGCAGTACATTAACTGTTACATTAATGTTACATTAATGAGGTCATTTCTGCAGGGGTCGAATCACATCTGTCTTTACAGATTCAGCATTTCTATACATTCCTGGAATCTGCTCACTTGGTATTTTGACCAGCAAAGAATTCTAAGAATCAAAGATGTCAATGTTTAAAATCAATGGTTGTAAAATGTGATTTTATAGTTAAAAAAAAAAAGATTTTATTGTTCAAAATAAGTGTATATTCTCATTGTTGAAATATTTGGCACAAATTGAACCCATTTGGACTTACTGTCATCGATTTTGTCTTTCTTGAACCTTCCATCCATTAAAGGAATGCATCATTCAGTAATGCTAATGTTGCTAACAGTGGATGAAAGCTCGTAGGTGCCAGTTACGCTTATGCTAACTGCTTCCCTTTTACTGCCATTCACTGTTAGCTTCAGCATTTCTGGATTAGTTATTTCTTTGTGCATATCAGCAGTGCAAGCATCGGTGTGATTCTATGTGGATCTGTCTGGTATTGATGAAAAACCTCTGTGCATTAATTGTAAATCAGAAAAAAACATGACACTGAAAATTAAAAAAATTATTTTTTGATAACGTTTGGGTTAATTGTTTCTTACTTTGTCGTACAGAGTGTTACATTCTGCTTTTTTTAAGCAACAACCACCAATTAGGGAATAAAAAAGCTTTAAAGTAGTGGAATACTGAACTCCTGCAGGCGTATTATAGTGTTTCACAAGCCCTAATTGTAAGTGTGTGGCACAAACTCCATTTTTAATGCTGGGGCCTGCAGCAGTGATGCGTGCACTGGCATTAAAGAGCTTTTTTGAAAAGTAATATTCCGAAATTTCCTTAAAGACCCTCTGCACTCGGGAACTTGTTTCTTAAATGGTACCTTATTATGATTATATAAGTCAAATGTGTTACCATAGTGTGAAGTTCACCCTTTTTCCATTGAAAACACAGACATTCTCAGTACTTTTGTGAAAAGGCGATGTGGGGCGCTACACAGCAACTTTGTTTTGCACGTAACGGATAAGCTTTAACCTATCACCATTCAGTATGCTAAAATATGCTAATGAAAGTGCTACAACCCCAGACACAGAACATGCCTGTGCTAACGTAGCTTTCTCTTGGTTTCTCTGACAGGGATTGACGGTATGTGTCCACTTGCAATCTTGGCCATTCCACGTCCTGTTCATTTCAGTGGAGAGCTCTGTTTAGTCCACACAGTGCCTGATGGTTGCGATGAAAAAGTTGAGCAAATGATTTCATGCAGCTGAGTCTGACCACCGCATTGCGTTGCCCTTTTCACTAGAAATGGAAGCCAGTAATGGAAGTAAATGTAAATGCCAGGTAAAACGAATTCCGCTAGTGCCTTATGTGTTACTAACCTCGGAAACACTGGCGTTCAAATCACTTTAATTTACCATGGAAAGGTGTCACTTTGTTTCTGTCACAAGTTGAAATTGAAGAATGTGTCCAAAATTGTTGGAGAACATCAAACACACAACAATGTGGGAGTTCCAAGCTGAATAAGGAACACATTCTTTGTGGAAGAATTCCTCCGCAGCTATCAGGGTACCATCACGTCAGCTACGTCTCCTGATGATTCATGTGGACGTGATAGACGTAAAAATAACTATAACCAAAAAAGATAAATTAGCCATGTTGGCTGGAGGTGTTATAACAGCTTACCAACAATAAACTGGGGGACAGGCCACATTGCCATAGCACCACTGTAGAGGTTTATCATAACCATCTACCCGCCCGCCGAGCGCTTGCTCTCTCAATTGCCAACAATTTTAGGTTATTCCATGCAATTCCATGCTGGTCAAAGCTGGGCTTGTGCTGGTCCGGTGCTGGGTTAGCTGGTCAACCAGCATGTTCATTCTGGTTGACCAGCATACCAGCATGCCAAACACAGCATATGCTGGTTTTGCTGGTGACCATTGCTTGTCTATGCTGTTTTTTTTTCTAGCAGTGAAGCTGTACAAGTTCTACTCAGCCATCAGTGTTGTTGTTGCTGTTTCGGCAGAGGCAGCGTGGCTAGGAAACCAACCCCTAATAGTTGAGATGTTTAGACTGTGCAGTTACCAATTAGCTAAAATAGACGACAGTAATTAGAAGCGCAATGCTGTCAAATTTATACTCCACAAGGGATTTTCTATTGTTACAACCTTGACATTTTAACAATAGAACAAAAGAACCCTTTTTGGTGCCATATAGAACCATTTTCAACAAATACATCACATTCTCCACCAATCTGAAGAACCATTTAAGCATGAAATGGTTCTATATAGGACACATGGTTCTAAATCAAACCATTCCCTTTACTAAAGAACCCTTGAAGAACCATCTTTTTGCTAGAAAAAAACAGCTCAGACCAGCATGGCCTGTTCACCAGCATAACTAGCATATGGTGTGTTTTGGATGCTGGTATGCTGGTCAACCAGCACGACTATGCGGGGTGGCCAACTAAACCAGCGCTGGTTTTTCAGGGTGGTGATGTAGCAGTAGCTTAGCATAATATCAGCTACACACAATTCTTAAAGCCTCACTTTGAATCGTCCGTACATTAAGCAGATGACCTCATGTTCATTGTTTGTCTACATGTTGAGTTTAATATCCAATATTTTTCATACTGGATCAGTTTAACTGGTTAATCAGTTTGCTGGCCTGGGAAAGAAGTTAGCAAAGGAGTCTGAGAAAATGACCACAGTGTACTTTATTAAATGAATTTGGTACTTTGTGTTGCATTAGAATCAAATAAAAATTTACAAAAATCCAATATATACAAAAATGTAATGTTCTTTTGTTTTACTCTTCAATTTACAATAAAATCAGATAACAGATTCAATGCATTTTAAGCACTTAAGACTTTCATCACACAATGCAACTTACTCAATAGACCAATAATGAACAGTTTTTTTATCGTTTTGCTTTTTTTTTTTTTTTCTCATTGAATACATCACATACACCACACTAGTTTTATTCTGTATTACGCCATATGTAACTGCCATTCTCGTGGCATTTGCCTTCTAGTCAACAGACACCCTTTACAGTCAGGACTCAAAAGGGAATGTTCTTTTTAAACATGTACATTTACATACAGTTATTTACAGTTAAATAGCCATTTGCAATTCACTATGGTGAGCTTCCGTCGCAACTGAAATACCAAGAACATCTGTACATCATATTAGGTCAAACCTAACTGAACGCATCTAGCCGAAGTTCATCAAAACTACTGTGCTTGTACTAAATCCGTGCTCTGGTGTTAACCGCTAATCAGCCCTAGATTCCAGTATGTATGTTTTTTTTTACCCTCCTATGCCATTCTAGTTCATCTAATCATCTAATTCTAATGGTGAGGGACAACCATATATGTATAACCTTTGAATCTTGTCTGCATACACGTATGAAAGTAAAAAAAACAAGTACCATCACACTTTCTGCACCATTTTTTTTTAGTTTTTTTTTTTCTTTTTTTCTGAATTAAGTCCGCAGTTCAGTTCCGCAACTCGTAACAGCGCCGTCCATGACTGTCCGTGACGTCTACGGGACCGTCACTGATTGTTAGACTGCAAAACGGAAAAGCCAGAGTTTCCCATCACCTCTTTTTTCTCCTCCTCCTGCCCATAGTAGAAGCACAGTAAGTCAAATGAAATGCTAACTGCCGCAAACAGAAAGATTAGCATCACACGCCCACCTTTCACAGCAACCCCACCATGATTAGCATGGGATACCAAAAAAGGACGAGAAAGAAACACACCCCCCCCCCCCGAACTGAAGAAGAACATAAATAAAGGCCAAACGTTCTTTAAGGCAAACAAAACTCATAGAAGCAGCTTGCATGGTTTGCAGTATGAATGAATCTCCCTGACTGCCGTAGGTTGCTTGTTTCCTGGAAGAAAAAAAGTGACGCGCTGAATTTACTTGATTCGAAGGAAAATCTGAATCAGTTACATTCAGTTCAACCCTTTTTTCCAGCATAAAAGATCCGAAAGTCCTGGGTTTGAACTGCTTTTCCGATGAGTTGGGCGTAAACAGGGAACTCTCCGCCTTTTAGGCCTCACAGGCCTAGCCTAGCTCTATCTTAGCAGTGATTTTGCTAGCATCTAGCACCATCAATGTCGCTTTATAGGCGCAGGGCGCTCCGTTTATCAGACCATGTTGAGGTAGGTTATCTGTACAATTTCTAGTCTTTCCAGAAAGAAACAAAATGGTAGCTTTTATGGAGCCATAAACCCAAATACAAAGATGAAACTGGAAGTGCAAAACAAGGTCGCGAGTGTAGCTTAGTTTTGCTGCAATGCTATAGAGTTGACCATAATTCTCTGTCTTCTACTATATATGTATTGGTAATATTGGTAGGATAGCTCATGTGCTTTGTGAGTTACATGGTTAAACTGACCTATCCATGACCACAAATGTGTCCTTTCATAGCAACCGTTGCTAGGTTGGACCGGCTTTACAGAATGTTAGCAAAAAAACCCGCTCAATTTACGAACCTGTAGAAATTGCACAACTGAAAATGTTTACGTTTTTGACAAAATATATCAGTTACTCAAATCTATACAGACTGGACTCTTACAGTGTTTAGAGTCACCATAACGTTTAGTTTCCAGTTCAAAATGCAACAGTGTGGAGATGTTCCATGTTGCAACTAATCAAAACAAGGCAGGTTGGAATGTTTCTCAATCGAGATACACATGAAATATGCAATTAAGTGAAAAGATGGAGACCTAGCAGGTTTGTTTCTGAATGGTTGGGGTTCATAATCATCCTAGCTGAGCCCACATCAATCATATTATTTACATATGTAGGCAAGAAGGAAAAAGAATTTTCATTCAAAGACAATAAAACAAATACAACCTACTAACCTGAATATGTAAATAAAACAAAGTCACTAATAACTAAACTAAACTCAATATATACTACGTGCTCAGGGTGCCCCCTGGTGGCTTGGAGGCTCACTGTTTCTTTACTACAACCAGCAGCTATGAAAGAATGCATTTGTGGGTGGATCATGGATTGGTCAGTTAGGACCAAACTGCCATATTACTACAACACTGACCCATTGGCTAATTTTTCACATAGATTGAAAACTATGAATAAATGATTTAGAATAAAAATGACTGTTTATGACATTTTAAAACTTGGTTTAGGGGAAAATTTCAAGTAAGCATCAAGTAATGTGCGATTTGGAAGGCTTGGCCTAAAAGCATCTGCTTTTTATATTAACCCCTTAAAATGACCTATGAGTTTCAGAGTGGCTACTGAATAATTCAAAGTAGTTGCCTAAACTCTGTGAGTGACGTTCTTCGCAAGAATTAAAATTTTGATGGCCTTTTGCCATCTGTAGCTGGGGGTTTACAAGAGCATCGGTCAGCGTGGTGCTAGACAATGCAGATGCCTTTTAGGTGATGTAAGAGAACTGGCAGTTAGTGTTCTCCTCCAAGCGTGTTGAGCCGTCTAATGATGATGAGTTAATGTAGTTTGAAAAGATGTGCTTGACATGTCTTGGACGAAGCACATGCTAGCCTTCATCCTCCCAGTTTGGAAATTGGCTACTACCAAAATTGAGGGGAAATATT